GTTATTTAATTTATATATTCATTTAATTATAAATATTAAAATTACTGGAACCACTTTAAACAACCCAAAAAATTCTGAGTGCGGACCTTAAGGCGCCATCTTGTTATCATCTTAAGTCAGTTTCGTAGTATTTATGTAGCATCAGCAATGAACTGGAGTGGGGTAGAAAGCCAATGTGCATTATTGTATCATAAAACAAGATGCGACTCTATGGGCGCAGCCATTTTTATTTCTCATCTCACTCGGGAGTATTTATAATAACCATTTTCTGTTTCATATTGTTATTGTTCAATCCACAAGCTGGTGGATCAGACAATAACAAAGTGAAATAGAAAATGGTTGTTATAAATACTTCCGAGTGAGATGAAAAATAACCTGTCTTTGCCCATAGAGTCGCATCTCAAGCCTATTGACAAGCATTCTACCCCACTCCAGTTCATTGAGCATCAGTTTAGTACCCACATACTTGTGCTGCGTTTGAGAATCCACATCGGATGCATCCGAGATGTAAAAAATCTTTGATCACGTGGTTCAGTATACGTAAATGTAATGGGACAGATGTGTCCGATGTGGATAAAAAAACGCTCGAGATGTAAAAAATGCATCCGATGTGGATTCTCAAACGCAGCATTTGATTACTATACGGTGCAAGAGAGACGTCCGACACTTCGATTTTAATCAAAGTATGTGCGCCCAACATAGGGCGCGGCCATTTTGATCCATTGACTACTAGGTTAGGCAACACATTTTTCCAAAATGTTAAACTGGTAGCCTACATCTTGGTATTTTAAGATTTTAAATGAAGGCAACCACTGTAGAAGAAACGTTTATTCATTTTAAATAGTTTCGAAGTGTATAAACGGGAACATTGAGATCAAAAGTGCCAACGCAGAGTGAGCGAACTGATTATTTAGCTATAAACTGTGGTAAAGGCATCAAAATGGCCACGCCCCACATACTTTGATTTTCGTTTACTATACGGAGAATGGTCGCACTGCGCAGCTTTCTGAGTGCATTTTAAAAGGAGATAGAAAACTCCGCCATTTTGATCCCTTATTACGTGTTGCCTACATCTTGGCGCAATATTTTTAATAGGTGCGTTTTAATCATCCGCTTCTGCTTCGGAATTGTCGGTTTTCTTGTTTTAATCTGACAGGTTAAAACGACTAAACCGACAATTCCGGAAGCAGTAGCGGATGATTAAAACGCACCTGATATTTTGCTTGCTGCTGTCAGTGTCAGTGAATATTATTTTTGGAGTCAGTTTATTGCTAAGAATCAGTTAGCTCACTCGGACCAGTTGAAAGTTCCAAAATAACATCCACTCCAGGGATACAAATTCAGGATAAGCAGAAGACTGCTGTTTTATTATAGGCGGTTGTCATATATTGTATTATCCGAGTTGCGCAGTGTATAAACTGGAACATTGAGATCAAAAGTGCCGACGCAGAGTGAGCGATCTGATTCTATAGCTATAAACTGTGGCATAGGAATCAAAATGACCGCGCCCTATGTTGGGCGTGTCGGACCTCTCTCTTGCACCGTATAGTAATCAAAGTATGTGCCGTATAGTAAGAGAAAATCGAAATCGAAGTATGTGATTCAACCTCATTGCCTATAATTCCGTGAAAAAACAGTAAATTTAGGTTTTTAAATTTCGCCTAAAAATCACGGTGTGAGAACTTTCTAGCATATTATCCCACGGTTCGTATCTCATCTCTGTTTTGACTATCTCGCTTATACTCACGAGGTTGAAACACTAACTTTATAAAACCTATCACTAGGAAGTGACACGTCAATTGTAGTGAATATGAGTCGGAATTATGTAGTTGTCACAGTGCAAAAAAGCCAGATTTACTTGCATACTTCCTTTATTAAATTTAAACATTTCACTTAAAATACACCAACACTTTCCCTACTAGCAACAGTTTCAATAGGGCGAAAATGGCGGATGCATCGGAGGCGGATCGCACGGCGATGGACAAGGAGACCCACAAGGTTTACCACAAGACGGACTACACGGCGTACCACAAGGTGGACAACATGGCGGCGGGGAACAAGAGAAAGGAACCGGACTCGGACAGCACGTCAATGTAGCCGTGTAGATCAGTGACGTCGGGGTGGAGGGTTGTCCCAACGGAGCGCATGGTACCGGCTGATTAGGAAAGCACTCCACCATCCCGTAACAAGGTATGGGACAAGCGGGCCCTGGTCGGCCGCAACCCCCTGGAACTGTAGCTACGCACGGTATAGGTAAACCGGCTTGGCACACCGGTGGTATAGCGCACATGGGGTTGTTTCCTGGTGGACCGCACGGTGCGCAGGGTGGAAAACCACCGCAAGTCGGCGGTAGCGGGACTGGACATGGTGCAGGAGTACACATCTTCGTATTTTTAGTGTTATTAAACAATTTTACTTAAAATTTTGATTTGGAGTTTTCGAAAGGACTTTTGGTTTGAATGTTTACGTAACCTTGAAGTTTCGTTGCTATGATTTCAAGGGATTTTTATGTTTGATATTCGTTTATTGTATGTGGTCCTTTACCGTTAAAGTAATTTGGTTAAGAAGAATGACTATGCGGGGCCTTATTCTTGCTGGCGATGGAGTAGTATGATCCCTGGGAACAGTTCCTCGATTTTCTTCTATCCTTAGAGTAACAAGGAAGAAGAACATTGTGAAAATTATTTCTGAGAAATTATTAGTTTTATTGTCAACTACTTGGTGTCATGGACACAAAAGAATAGACAGTTCCCGTTGTTACCAAGGCAACAAACTATCAAATCGAACATTCAAAACGAACCAACTCACAGTCAAAATTGCAAGTAAAATCGTCTTAAAACCCAATAAAAGATGTGTACTCCCTGTCCCTTTCCACCGTGCTGTTCTCCTTTGCCACCGATGTGCGGACCGTGCCCGCCTTGTCCGCCCTGCAGTCCTCCAAATTGTACCCCCTGCTGCACTATACCATCGATATGTACGGCGAGTTTAAATTTGAACGTGATGCCTAGTTGTCCACCTCCATGTCTGCCTTGTCAACCTTGTGCGCCCGTACCTTGCGCAGCTATAACGCCTTGCGCTCCGCCACCTCCGGTGCCTGTGGCTCCTTTAGCGCAGCCGTCCTGTCCTACGTCGCTCGTGTACACTGCGAAAGTTACTTGGCCATGTCCCCCGTGTTGTCCATGTCCACCGTGCGGTCCCTGTGGCCCTTGTCCCCCATGCGGTCCTTGCGGTCCTTGTGGTCCTTGTCCCCCGTGCGGTCCTTCTTGTGGCCCGTGCGGACCATGTGGTCCATGCGGACCTTGTGGTCCTTGTGGTCCGTGTGGCCCTTGTTAACAAGTCTTGTGCAGCTTTGTTTGAAAAAGCAAATCCATTGGAATGGATTGAAAGTATAACTGTTTCTTATGTAAAAATAAAGGTAGTATACATTGAAATTTGTTTTTTTTATATTACTAGTATTTTTACTTCAGGGCTTTGGGCCATTTGCACCGATAGTCCTCAAGAAATTAAACATAAATTGACATTTTTAGTCGCAAAATGAAATTTTGTTGGCTTTAAACTAGTTTTTTTGTAGTATGACTCTATAGTTTGTAGGTAAAGCAGGGACAGAAGTTGGAAAGGATTTTGGTAGGTAAACGTCATATTCCGTCGGATGATTTTGAGAATTTGTCCGCCAGTGTCATATCATAGAATAAAAATAATATCAAACATTTTAAATTATTAACGATGAAATCGGACAAGAAATAATTATTTAAGCAAGTAATAATACTATCACGATATACGTGTTTTTTAATAAAAATGTCACGATATTCGTGTTCTTTAATAATTATGGGACTATCTTTTTTCATGGGGTTAAATAACCAAATGTCAATTCGGGCCTCAATCTAGTTTGTCTTAAACTTGGCTTCGTACCCCTAAATTATATAGGGGGTTTATTCGGGAATTAAAACTCCTCAAGACTAAAGGAAACACAATGTTTTCTCAAAGCAAATAAAATATAATCTTATGCAAAACTGTTATATAAAATACGTCATCACTTGACATACACAAATATGAAGCTCAATATAATTACAAATATCAACTCACCAACTCCAATATTTGGGGTACAAATCACGACCCTTGACTAACTGTTAAAACCGTTATGCAAATAAAAAAAAAAGGACTTTTAATTCTTACGATATAGAGATCCTGAGCCTCCAGTCGGAGTCTGAGTGAGTTAGAGCTGCTACTCAGAATCCCCTACAAGGGGGGCTTCCTATGGGGAGGATACTGTCCTGTAAAAAAAGCCCTGTGCGTCCCCTCAAGATTACCTAAACAAAGTTTTATGTACAGGATGTTATTTAAATAATTAAAATTAGGAAAAATATGAATTTGCCACCTGTCCTTTTTTCAAGCAAAATGTTCTTATGACTTTATAAAGCTTAAAATGTCCATTTTTTACGGCATATGTCTTGTTTTACTCTTTAATATCTTTGAAAGGGCCCTAGCTTGTAAGCTACCTGTTTTTTTTAGAAGCTCGGTAGAAGGGCGAGGAGTTTTTACTTTTTTTTTTTTAGATCAGTAGAAGGATGAGCACCTTTTGTATACCGGGCCCCCGATCTATCAGGATCATAGTCACTTTTCAAAAAGATGGCAACCCTAATAGCTATTCACAATTTAATAAACAATTTACGTGAAATTGTTATTAGCATCTATAAAATAATGTTCTAATACGACAATTTTTCGAAGTGAGAGAACTGGGAAACTGATTATAATTATCTCAAGAACAATTTATTTAAAAAAAATTGATTGTATACAATAACACCCTTTAGGTTTAGGATATCATTAGAAAAGACATGCACAATTTCACAATCGCAATGCAATATAGTCATAAAAAATAGCAGTCAGCGATGATGTATAATTTTCGAACAACCCCTGTAAAATTAAAAACCCACACATTCTGTGTATAGAAATGTCATCTTCTGCTTCTTCATTCTTTGAAGTAAAATGGAAAAGTAAACAACATGGCGTCAGTGTTGTCGTCTGACGATTTTTCAGATTGTTCCCAATTTTCGGTAGCCTGGGATGAAAACATTAGTGTAAAAAGTGATAACATTGATATTCCAATACCTCAAAATGAAAAGACTACGAACTTAGTGTATAATGTAATAAATAGACAGGTAAATGTTTTCCTAACCTCAATTATTTTACTTTTGATAAATAAACATGTATTGTAATTCTTTTGATATTTCAGTTGTACGGTAGATTTGCGAAGAATCCTAAAGCGAAGACTGAAAGAATATTCAACGGTATTCATCCGAAATGTAAATTTAATTTGAGTTCTTTAATAAAAGACCCAGATTCGTTGTAAGTAACAAACGATTGCAGATATTGATATCGGCAATAAAACATGATTTTTTACAGTAATCACATATTTATGGGCTTCACGATGTGCGGTCAGTTTTTCGTAAGTTATACTGAGAGAATGTGTGAAGATTTGTTCCCTCTGAGTTGTTTCGCTTCATATGAATACGAACTGTATTTGTGGAGGTTTGTGCCAGGACAAAAATTGCAATTCGTATCCAAACATAAGATTTTCAAGCACCTAAAAAGCCCTGGAGTTCTGGATAAAGTTAAAATTATGCAATTTCCCAGGGATTTGTACAAGTTGGTGTGCTATGGATTGACGTGAGTGTGGAATAATGATAATTTTGTGTACTTAAATGATGATTTTTTTTCTATTTGTTTTAGTACTACTAATCCTGATTTAATTCATATCACGATATTGACTTTGCCTGCTCCTAAAAATTGCAGGCATTGTTGCAAAATGTTTTCCATCACTGATGGTAAGTGGATTTTTATTTTTGTACTAAGTAATCTAAGTTGATTTGTTTCAAAATGATAATTTTTTTCAATAATACATTTTTATTGAATTGACCCTTAAATTACCCTGTCAAAACTATTTGTAATTTTTCTTTTAATATAATATTAGGCAGTTAAGGCTTGGCTAGCGCACTCAGTTATAAAAAGTATATCAACAGTTTTATTATTCCACGATTTTAGATTAGATTTATTTCATCAAAATTATATTTAACAAAATTTTGACATGTCAGCATCTAAAAGTAAATTACTGAAACAACAAAATACAGAGTATAGACATTCACATCTTCACAAAACATATTTATGTATATTTCAAATTATCAAACAATTAAGCACTTTAAGGTAAGTCAGCAGTTGATCCCTTCCAAATAAAAGCATGTTTTAGAAAGTGGGTTTTACTTTGTTTTTAAATTTTATATATGAAAGATATTTTAGATTTTTTGAGATATGATTGTATAAATGAATATTGGGAGAGTTTATTTCGTTTTTAGATACTTATAGCAATTTGGTCTAATAATTCTTCTGATCTACCTAGGTGTTATTGTCATGAAAGTGATTGTTCAAACAAAAATAATTCTTATTTTTTATGAATTGCAAGTAGTGTTTCATACATATAAAGAGAAGGTAACGACATAATCATTAATTTTAAAAATAAAGGTTTGCAATGTTCTCTAAAGCTTACACCAAAGATTAATCCTTATATCTACAAGGCAGGAGTTTTTCTAAACAGTTATTCCATATTTTATATGGCTATGAAAAAGAAAAGTATTTTAATGACATCTGTAGTTACTAGAAGTGCCAAGTTACATATTAAGAATATGTCAAAATAACTGGGGCATTTATTAAAAAGCTTAATCTGGTACTCATTGTTATATATAGGTACAATTCGCAATATTCTAATTTTGAAATATTTCTTACAATTTTAACAAATGTCTTATTACTATTAGAAGCTAAACACAAAAATAGTAGAATCATTATATGTGGGGATTTTAATGTAAAATTTTTAGAACCTGATAGCAGAACAAGACAACTCACCGACTTGTTACTTCAGTTTAATTTTGAACAAACAATATTTACATATATTCGTATTACAAAGAGCTCTTAAACATGTCCAGACAACATATTTGCTAACTTTCCTTTTGCTCAGACACACGTGTTAAGGACTACAGAGTCAGACCATGACCCTCAATTATTAACTTTCTTAAATCATGAGCGCTCCATATTAGGAGATTTTAGATCCTTCTCTCAAAATAATATATATAATCTTAATAATTATCTGCAAAATGAAACCTGGCATGACATAAGAAAAGCAACCTATGCAAATAAAAAAGCTGAAGCACTTCATGATACATTTATGAAACATTTTAATGCCTCAATTCCAAATATATCCCAACCTAAAAAAAAAATATAATAAAAATTTGAGTTATATGAATACAGATGAAATAAAAAGACAAAAAGAACTAATCTTATTTTTACAGGACTTCATTAAAAACAAACCGACTACAATAACAAATTATATAAACAAGAGAAAACTAAATACAATGTATTGCTAAAAAATGCAAAACAAAATAACTTACTTCAACAAATTAATAATTCAGACAATAAATCTAAAACTGTATGGCAAATAATAAATAATGAAACAGGACGTAATAATAAAAATAAAGTAGAATCTGAAATCTATATAGAAACCTTTAATAAATATTTTGTAAACCATTCATCTGATATACTAGAAGGCATCTTCAATAACAATAAAAATAAAATTGACTTAACTTGTTATAACTGAAAACATCAATCACTTTTCTTAGCTCCTTTTACTGAATCTGGCACCATAGATATAGTACAAAACATTAAATAAAAAAGAACTCAAGATATGTATGAAATTAATACCTATTTATTAAAAAACTGCGCCCAAAATATTGTTGTTCCTATTTCTGAATTGATAAATTGTTGTTTAGCTGAAGGTACCTTTTCAGATATTTTTAAATCGTTCAAAGTTCTCATGCCACAAAAAAGGAGTTAACTCAGTACCTAAAAATTTTCGCCAAATACATATTTTACCATGTTTTTTAAAATACTTGAAAGTGTTATAGTAAAACAAATTGTGCATTTCTTTGAAAACAACAACTTTTTTTCTGCGGAACAATATGGTTTTGGACATGGGAGAACAACTCCAGATGCCATGCTAGCTTCAATGAATAACATTCAGGAGTCTTTAAAAAACAAATCACAATGTGTAGCTATATTCACTGATCTATCTAAAGCATTTGACTGTGTAAGTCACACATTTTTAATCAACAAACTAGATAAATATGGCATTAGAGGCATTGCAAATAAGATGATTGCTTCTTATTTGCAAAACAGACAACAAAGTGTATATTACAGAAATAAACTTAGTAAACCTTTATTAATGAAAAGAGGTGTTCTACAAGGATCCGTACTAGGCCCTCTATTATTTTTAATATATACCAATGATCTTCCATCATATATGAATTACTAACTACCATGTATGCAGATGATACCAATTTCTCATATCACTGCAATAACACACCTGACATAGTTATCAAAAACTCTAAGATTATGACTGAAGCTAAACAATGGTTTGATAGCAACGAATTATTTTTAAATCACAATAAAACTGAAACATGTGTCTTCAGGTTGAACCAAACTACTAGTGAAACAATGAACACTAAATTTCTCGGTATATATTTTGGCACACAACTTACATGGAACTATCAAATAAATAACTTATGCAACAAGTTAGCAAAATTCACGTTTGCTCTATGTACAATATCAAATATAGTTAATAGACTTTAAAATCCCTTGTAACATCAGCTATTGTTTTTAAGCACTAGAGAGTTTTCCTTTGATTATGCAGTTCTTCATCAAACTAGTTTACAGAAGAATAATTAATATTTCGAGAAGGGAAATGTTTTTCTATAAGATATTTGAAGATCTCGGTTATAAAATTAACAAGATTTGAATTTGAAAATGGAGACCAATCAACATCTTTCAATGATTCGTTCAAATTTATGAGGCCTTTTTTGTTATGTGCCTTTGTGGAATTGTTTTTGAGATATTTTTACAATTTAATTGAAGTATTAGATATTGTGCTCTATTTTTAATTTTATTGTGTACCTCATAGTCAAACGCCTTGGTACCAAAGCAATTTTACAATATTATTAATTACAGTTTCGCAAGTTTCAAAAATTTCCTTGTAAACGAAATCAACATCAGTAAAATCAAAATTAAAGTGGTTCATAATAAGATTAGCTTTTATATTATTTAAATTTTGAATATTTAATTTTCTAAAGTGTTCTACATTCATATAAATTTCAGCGCTATTGCAAACATTAACAGAAATTGTAGAACGGTCCGTTATTTTTGGATAATCATATACATTGGACACTGTATTATCATAATTAGATAGTATGTAGGGCACTACTCGTTATCCAGGGCCGTCTTTATCCTGTTGGAAGCTCTAGATATTTTAGGATAATGAGGCCCCTATCACTGTAATATGACAGGACTATTTTATAAACGACAAGCAAAATTATAGTCCTAAACAAAAAAATCTGGTTAAATGCGCGGTAAAGTGGAATCCCGGTCGACTGGATGTCATGTTCGCAAGGGAAGTCCTGATCATGGAGTCAGTTTATTTGAATGGGCCGCGTTCCGTTTTACGTCGCTTAAAATAAATTTAGGAGAATCACCTTGTAGGTATGCAGTCAGGCAGCGTTGCCAGTGTTTGTTAGACCCTTTGTTATTTATAACTATGTATTATACATTTAGTTGGTGATCTAGCAGAAACATGGATTGCGGGGCCCTGGGCACTTGCACTTTAAAAAAATCCCATAAAATTATAGTTTATAAAATTGAGTGATTAATACTATCAAAGATCTTACTCAAGTCTAAAATAGTAGCTGAAATATTTCGTATTGCTGTTGTTGACTTTTTTGTTCTATAGCTAAACCAATCACTTTTTAGGACAAATATTCTTGCGTAACTGCATTGCACTTTTTTGCAGAATCCGTAAACCAAGGTTGGTGCATCAAACACGGCTTCATAGTCCACTACATGTTCTCTATGTCCCAACCGACGCCTCTATTCGATCCTAATGTATCCCTAGCGTATCCCAACCATCTGGTAGTCAACACCGGCCATCACATACACATCTTGAACATCTCCACCTTGGAACCCCCCCAACTGATGGTATCGCTTCTAAATCTACCGAAAGACGAGGACAGCAACAAAATCATCAACACTCCGACTCATACATTCAACGACACCTTGAGCGAAGTGTCCGAGAGTCCCAGCGAGCATTTCGGTACGAACAGCGTCATCGACGCCATCTTGGAGGATTTCAGTGAGTACGATCTAGATAGTAACGAGTGCAATAAGCCTTTCCACGAGTTGAACATCAGTTGCGAACCGTTGAACGTAACCGGTAAAAGTTATCACAACACTTTGGTGCAAAACATAGTCGATCCTAGGGTCAAGCGGTTGCAGACCAACAGCAAGGAGTATCTATTTTCGGTGCCTCAAACCTCCGGGTCGCAAAAGAGTTTGGAGAAAAGCAAAATCGATAAAAAGATCGCCGAGAAAGCATACGAGTTCATCGAAGAGAATGAGAAATACGAAAAAATCAGTTCGTTCAGGAAGAAGAGATTGGCTGAGAAGAAGTACGAATTTTCCGAAGATAATAGTGAGAATATAGTACCGTTTAACTCTTTGAGGCGCGATAGGAGGTTTTTATATAGATCGCAGAGCAGATGTATCAGATCGCCCGACTTTAATTCGCTATTTCTGAGTCCGAGGTCCAGCGGGATCAGATCACCGATGCAATCGCCGAAATCGCGTTGCGGGCAGTTCTCGCCGAGCGGCGCGCGCAACTTATACTGCCCATCGTTACGGACCTCCTCCCCCCACCACTCCAAATCGCCCATAAGTCCGCGCGACGGCGCCAGGAAGGTGTACGTGTACTCGCCCAGTTTGGACGGCGGCGATTGGTCTGATTCGGATTCGCGACTGGTGATGCGGACGACGGTGGGGGGAAGTTCGGGTTCCGGGGGGGATAGTAGGTTTAGTAATACGGGTTTGTTGATTGTAGACCCGAAAATGGAGCGGCCGAAGTGGATCAAGAAGGTGGTGAGGCGGTATTCGAACGGAGATTACGAGAACGGCAGCTTGGTGTCGGGACAGAGTAGAGGTGAGTAACTGTACGTGCTTGTTTGGTGGCCAGAGAGGGTTTTGTGTTTGTAGTTTTTGTTGTCTTTAGCAATTTCTGTTTTTTTTTCTGCTTTACGGTAATATATAATACATTTTTGGAAATACGGCTGCCTATGTCTGGATTGCGATGTAACAGCAATTTACCAGATTTGGGGAAAATACCGCAATGCAACACTGTATTTTCCCTAATAATATATTTCCTCAGATTTAGAGAAAATATGGCAATGCAGCATCGCATTTCCACAGTTTTAGGAAAATTCAATTCAACACCGCATTCCCCCAGATTTAAGGAATTTTTTTTTAGATGACTTTAATCTGCCCATCGAGATTCCGTTGCTGGCGCAAAACTTGACCGAGCAACAGTTGGACGTCGTGCCGGACTCTAAGGTCGATCAATTGACCGAAATACAATTGATCGTGTCGCAGCGGTCCTTCGATTGCGAACAGTTCGTACAGCGCAGGGCGCAAAAGTTGTGCTCCGAAGCCGAATTGGATTTCATGCATTGTGAGGATTACGATATTAAAATTTTACATGTGAGTACAGAACGTTTTCGATTTTTTAAAGTCTTTTCCTGGACTATAATGGCATAAAATACCAAACTATTTTTCAGAACTTTTTCTTAAATGTGGAAAACGATTTTTCTATTTATTATGAATTTTCCCGGACTAATACGTATGTGCCAAGCGATTTTCCAATTTATTAATACTTTTTCTGGCCTGTACGCACAAGGTCATCAATTTTTTAATTCAATTAGTATTTTTCTGGATTATACGTATGTGGCAAGTAATTTTTCAATTTCATTATTTTTTGGGCTACATGTATGTTTCAATTTTATTATACATTTTTCTTGTCTATACACATATGCTGATCTATTTTTCAATTTTTATAATATTTTCCTAAACTATACGTATGTACTAAGCGATTTTTCAATTGAAAATAATAATTTTCCTGAGTTAAATATTTTGTGTTCGATTTCTATCAAATCAATTTATGTAAAACGAATCAAATTTTTCTGGACTTTAATTTAATATATAATATAATTAATTGTTTTTTTCAAATTTATTGAAATTTTCCTGGACTATACTTAATTTATTATATATTTAGTCGTTTTACGGGATTTATTGAAATTTTCGCTAACTATACCTAATCCTAAGATTATATTTAATCTTTTCCAAATTTATTGTAATTTTCCTGGACTATACTTAATTAATTAACCATTATATTTAAAAGTTTTTTCCAGATTTAAAAAAAAATCCAGACTACTTAATCCTAAGATTATATCAAATCGTTTTTTTAATCCTTTTACAAATGTATTGACATTTTTAAGGATTATTCTTAAGTAACTTGGAGATTATATTTAATTGGTTTTCCAAATTTTATAAATTTTCCTAGATTATACTAAGATTATATTAAATTGTTTCCAGATTTATAAAAAATCCCAGACTATACTTAATTAATCCAAAGATTATATTTAATCTTCTTCCAGATTTATAAAAAAAAACACTACACCTAATTAATCCTAAGATGATATTTAATCATTTTTCCTTTATTGAAATTTACCTGGACTATACTTAATTAACCTTAAGATTATATTTAATCGTTCTTCCAGATTTATTGAAATTTTGCTGGACTATACTTAATTAACCTTAAGAATATATTTAATCGTTTTTCCAGATATATTTAAATTTGTCCAGTCTATAATTAAGTAATTCTTAGATTATATTTAATCCTGTTTCCAAATTTATTGAAATTTTCCTGGACTATACTTAATTAACCTTAAGATTATATTTAATCGTTTTTCCAGATATATTGACATTTTTCTAGACCATAATTAATTAATCCTTAGATTATATTTAATCATGTTTCCAAATTTATTGTAATTTTCCTGTACTATACTTAATTAATCAACCGATATTTAAATATTTAAACGTTTTTCCAGATTAAAAAAATCCTAGCCTACTTAATCCTAAGATTATATTTAATGGTTTTTCTAGATTTATACAAAATTCCCAGACTATACTTAATTAATCCTAAGATTACATTTAATCTTTTTTCCAAATTTATTGAAATTTTCCTGGACTATATTTAGTTAACCTTAAGATTATATTTAATCGTTTTTCCAAATATATTGAAATTGGTCCAGTCTATAATTATTAAGTAATCCTTAGATTATATTTAATTCTGTTTCCAAATTTATTGAAATTTGTCTGGACTGTACTTAACCTTAAGATTATATTTAATCGTTTTTCCAGATATATTGAAATTTGTTCAGTCTATAATTAATTAATCCTAAGATTATATTTAATCGTTTTCCAAATTTATAAAAATTTTACCGCACTATACTTAATTAAAGTGAGAAAATTTTTGGAAATGTGAAATCAAGAAATGTTTTCCCACATCCCTGAAGATTATATTTTATTTTAATCAAATTTTCCTGGACTATACCTAATTAACCCTAAAATTATATTGTTTTCCTAAATTTATTGAATTTTTCCTGGACTATACTTAACTTTAATATTATAATTTAATCGTTTTTCCAATTTAATGACATTTTTTCTTACTATTCTCAATTAACTCTACGATTATATTTATTTAATCATTTTTCCAAATTTATTGAAATTTTCCCGGACTAAATACTTTTAATTCGATTTTAGATTTGTCCTATAAACGGCCATATAATATGCCATGCCATAATTAAGATAGGCGCCAGACGCGGCCCCAATAATTATATGTTGGAGCACTACACGGCCAATTTCGTGTTTACGTGGAGCATAGAAAACGACGCTTTTGAAGTCATCGATAACAAGGAACCTCCCAAATTGTTACCGGCTCACGTGCCCTTAGATTTTCCGGAATACGATTTTGCCGAATACGATATTCCTAGGTGAGTAAAGATTTTTTTTTTTAGATATTTGTCCACAAAATTTTTCCGTAGTATCATCTAATAATACGCATTATATCGCACTTCTCTTCAAAAGTGACGCAACTTAAAAAGCGTCAGTTTCTGTTTTATATCGGCAAACCTAATAAAAAGCTTGTACTTTTCATGAGTCCGTTTCTACAATAATTATTAGATATATGTTAAATTTGTTTTATAAAATTGTGTAAAAGTTTTTTTTTTGTTATAACGTCATATTTCGAGTTGCAACTATTTAAACAAAAAAAATAATTTAACGTTTAATATGGTCTCTTTTTTTAAGTTAATTTTGTGTTCTCTAAAACTTTATTAGATATTTGTCCACCAAATCTTCCCGTGTTGTCATCTAATAATACGCGTTGTATCGCACCTCTCTTCAAAAGTGACACAACTTAAAAAGCGTCAGTTTTTGCTTTATATCGGCAAACCTAATAAAAACCTTGTACTTTTCATGAGTCTGTTTATATAATAATTATTAGATATATGTCAGTTTTGTTTTATAGAATTGTAGAAAAGTTTTTTTTTTTGTTATAACGTCATATTTCGAGTTGCAACTCTTTATTTAACAAAAAAAATAATTTAACGATTAATATGGTCTCTTTTTTTAAGTTAATTTTGTGTTCTCTAAAACTTTATTAGTAATAATAAAGGATTATTTTAATTTAAGATGTAAAGAGGTCCTTGTTATGGACTACTGTTACGCCTCATCGAAGACCGCCCTCAGAGATTACAATAACTATTACGAAATTTGTCTGGAACCGACCAACATGCCGATCAGATCGCACGTGTTCATCATACAGGGCTATTCGAGCGACAGCGACTAGAACTTTGATTTATTCATTTTTCGCTGGATTTTATATATAGGTATATAATTCGATTAAGAAATTATCACTGTACTATTGAATTTCTACGCGTTTTAGACGTAGACATTCTTCGCCGATTGTTTCTAGTATTTACCGTAACAGTACTATTCAAATCGTAGTATTTTGATTTTGTCCGCTATTTTGCTTTTAGTTGCATGGTGCAAGCGTCGTTTGTCAAAGGGGTTTGACGGTTGACAATTAACTTACGTCAGTGACTGTGTTTTTTAAAGACGATTTTATTATTAATTTTTCTAGTCTATACGTGCCCACTGTTTTACAATTTTTTTTATTAATTTTCATGATTTGTACGTAAGTGGATTTTTCTATTTAATTCTAAATTTTCCCGGACTAAGCATTTATACCAATCCATTTTATTTATGTTTTAATTAATTTATCTAGTCTATACCAATTTACTGTTAATTTTCCTGGACTATGAGTATTTGGCAACCGATTTTTAAATTTTATTATAAATGTTCTCTTGCTTTATGTATTTATCGAACAATTTTCCAATTATATTAATAATTTTTCTGGTCTATTCGCATAAGCCCACCAATTTTCCAAATTTATTAATAATTTTCTCGGACTATATGTATCTGGCAATCTATTTTTCAATAATTTTATTATAAAGTTTCCCAGATTATACGCATATTATATTAAGCGATTTTCCAATTTTATTAATATTTTCCTGGACTATACGTATGTGGCAATCGATTTTTCAATTTAATTCCAAGTTTTCCCAGACTATGTATACGTACCAAGCATGTTTACAATTTTTTATTAATTTTTTTTAGCTTATACGTACCTACTGATTTTCCAAATTTACTAATAATTTTCCTGGACTACTAAGTATGTGTCAACCGATTTTTTTATTTTGTTATAAATTTTTCTATGCTATATGTTTCTACCGAACAATTTTCCAATTTTATTATAATATTTCTGGTATATATGTATAGGCCCACAGATTTTCCAAATTTATTAATAATTTTCCCGGCCTATATGTATCTGGCAATCTATTTTTCAATAATTTTATTATAAAGTTTCCCAGATTATACGTATATTATATCGAGCGATTTTCCAATTTTATTAATATTTTCCTGGACTATACGTATGTGGCAAACGATTTTTCAATTTAATTCTAAGTTTTCTCGGGCTATGTATATGTACCAAGTCTGTTTACAATTTTATTATTAATTTTTTTTAGTCTATACGTACCCATCGAATTACCAAATTTGCTAATAATTTTCCTTGACTACTAAGTATGTGTCAACAGATTTTTTTTATTTTATTATAAATTTTTCTATGCTATATATGTCTCTACCAAACAATTTTCCAATGTTATAATATTTCTGGTAGGTATATATGCATAGGCCCACAGATTTTCCAAATTTATTAATAATTTTCCCGGACTATATGTATCTGGCAATCTATTTTTAAATAATTTTATTATAAAGTTTCCCAGATTATACGTATATTATATTAAGCGATTTTCCAATTTTATTAATATTTTCCTGAACTATAAGTATGTGGCAATCAATTTTTCGACTTAATTCTAAGTTCTTCTGGTCTATGCATATGTACCAAGGCACTTTACAATTTTCTTATTAATTTATTATTAATTTTCACAGGCTATACGTATCTGGCAACAGATTTTTCAATCATTTTATTATAAAATTTCGCAGATTATATAATATTTTTTCCTGGAATATACATATATGGCAACCGATTTTTCAATTTAATTCTAAGTTTTCCCGGACTATGTTATAGGTATGTATGTGCTTAACGATTTTCCTGTTTTATTAATTTTTTTTCTGACCAAGTTTTCCTGAACTATACGTATGTGGCAACCGATTTTTCATTTATTATTTTCCCGGACTATACGTACCAAGCGATTTTTCAATTTTATTGTTAATTTTTCTGCTCTATACGTGTCCACCTATTTTCCATATTTAATATTAATTTTCCTAGATGTGGCAGCCGATTTTCCAATTTTAATATTATTTTTTCCTTTCTGTATACGTGCTCACTTATTTTCCAAATTTAATATTTATTTTCCTGGACTATACGTATGTGACAACCAAATTTATGATATTAATTTTAATTTTCCCGGACTGTGCGTATGAATCAAACGATTTTCCAATTTTAATATAAATTTTTCTGGTCTCTATACGTGTCCACTGGTTTTCCACATTTAATATTAATTTTCTTGGACTATATTTACAATTTAATATTAAATTTTAAGTAAGCCATTTTGACTTTTTCTTTTAAAAAACATGATTTAGCTTTTCTAGATACTTTTATATTATTTAAATAGGTAATTATTTTTCTACAGATAGAAATGAAACTTTACGCATCATATTTGACGTTTGTTAACTGTCATACGTCAACGTATTTACGTAAAATTGACGTCTGGCAGCTGCGCGAAATTATTAATCGATTCGTCGACTAACTAGAACTCTATTTTGAAAAATAATTCATTCAAAGTGATACTTTCCCCGTTTTTATTAATCAAACGAGTAGGTACGTTTAATTTAATGTATTTTTTTTTTTAATTCGTTTGAAATGATTTTTTTATATTGATCGTAATTTCTGACTCGAAAGGAAACTAGTACGAAAACAGTACGATTAAGTTAAGAGTATAGTAATAAGTTGAACTGTGATTTTACCAATTGTGAAGTTTTAAAATAAAGAAAGTGTTAATTCTCCTCAGTTCTTTTTTTAATTGCACAGTTTATAAGTCTCTATATATATGATAATTAAGCGTTGTCATTCCAAACATAGAGATTGCTCGATACACAAATCCTAATTGGGCACAATAATTACCTACAATTTTACTTCAATTTTGAAAAAAATTGATAAATTACCTTATATTGTTGACCCTGTTAAAGCCACTTATGAAATATGCATTTGGCAACCACGCATAAATGTGAAGCTCCGTTGGGTCATTCTCTAGGCTCCAACTTAATTTTTCAAATTAACAAAACCTTATTTATTTACCTATTCGCGAATTTTCTCAATAATAATAATTTAAAGCACATTTGGGCTAGACCGGTTCTGTTCAATGCAGTGAACACTGAAAACCGCTTTTAGTTATCTAATTGAAGAGTAATCTATATAACAATATATCATTGACTATTATGCAGCTCCGACGGGTCACTCTCTAGACTCAATTTTTTTTAAATTGAATTGACATTTGACAAACAAAAACAACCCATAACCCACATTTATTTACCATTTGAATTTTCTCAATCTCAAATAGTTTTAATTCTCCGATCGAATTATGTCTACGGACGGGAAAGTGAAAATTGCATCCCTACGCAACAACATGGGGGCCTACACTAGAGAACAAAAACTAGTAATGACCGTTTGGTTTCACGAAAGACTGTACACAGGAATGTCTTACAATCAGCTATGTATAAATTTTCAAATAAGATTCAAAACCAAACCGCCCAACCGCAACGTTTTAAGAAATTGGGACCGAAAACTATTTAAAGACGGGTTCTTTTTTAGAGTACCAGGAGAACGCCCTTCTTCCTACCAACCCAGGTTGGCACACATACCCTATGTTTTAGAATCATTTCTTAGGTTTCCAGATTTATTAGAAACCAGTAGGGCCAATTTGCTTGGCATAAATTTGAAATCATTAAAAACTATTCTAAAAAAGGACATCAGTCCACAAGAAGTAGAACAATGTAGGCAAAAGGGAAGGGAGAAAGCAGCAAGTGGTAGTAGTAATACGACCTCATCTCATGAAGAGAGCAGCTCTTCGAAGGAAGATAATTGTGAAGAAAATGATAGGATAGAAATAGAGCCAGTTGGTGTTGAAGAAGACTTTACAGTAGAATTCAGTGGTGATGAAGATGAAGGAAACTTAGAAAGTCAAGTGATATATGAAGAAATTATCATTAAAAGTGATTTTGATTAATTTTTTTTGATTATCTTAAGATATAAAGTTACATGATTGTTTTTATAAAATATTAACAAGTGACATGTACTGTTTATACAAAAATCTAGTATTATTGAGATAAATATTTAGAAATATGGAGACAATTTGTAAATAAAAAGTTTCAATTGTTAAACAAAAAAAAAAAAAAATGTCAGAGTCGACTTAGTTAGCTGAAATTAGTTATGAGCATTATTTCACAAACTGTTACTTTTTCACTGATATTAAAAAGTAGCAGTTAATGACTGTTACTAAAGTTGCTACCAAACTGTGACTGTGATTTTTTTGTTTCCCTCTTCTCATTAATCATTTGTTCGAATATTTAAAATTAGAAATACTTTACAGATTTCTCAAAACCACTAACAACTTATTATTGAAAGTTTGATCATTAATCGAAAGATGGTGCTGTAGGATAAAAAAATTATATAATTTTACTAAATGATTTTTATTCAATGACAATATATATTTTTCTTAATTGTCCCTTAAATTCAATGATAAGAATCATATTTCATTACATAATTGAATATAAATAGGAAATGTACAAAAGTAAGGACACACGCCTTGTTCGATCTTGTTCCTATTATAACAACATATCATTACAGTATAAGGAATCAGTGAAACAGGTCATATAAAACTGTGATCATGTCACGATTTTAAATAAATGATATTTAAAAATATCAATAACAAATAATACTGTTACTAAAAAATAACGATATCGCTCCTCACTAGCTGAAATCAGTAGTTATATGTAAAAACTGCCATGCAGTGTTGCCAACAAGTATCATCATTACAAATTGGAAATCACCAAAAACCACTAAGTCGGAACAACTACAAGGGAAGCAAGAATATGTCCCATTGCATATGAAATTTTATGAAAATCTGCCTACTTTTGTGCATAATAAAAAGAAAAGTTACTATATTTTTGTTTGTTATTAAATTATAATAAAGTTTACACAATATAGGAACACAACTTGTAGAAGAAATCATGTATTTATTTATAAAAAATACACTTTGATATTTTTTAAACATCTGCCAAAAGCACACATACAAATCTTAAAAAATAAGACAATAAATATCTATTCGAGGTATGCAAGTTATTAACAAAAATGGATACACTATCATTGAAAATATATATATTTTTAACCGACTTCAAAATAAGAGGAGGTTCTCAATTCGTCGCAATATTTTTTTTTATGTATTTTCAGCGATAATTCTTTAACACGTTGTCTGATTTCAATGATTCTTTTTTTTTGTTAGAAAGGGGGAACTTCAGGGGTGGTCCCATATAAATTTGGTCAAAATCTAATAATTGGGTCCATGAGAAAATCCTCAAACTCTTCATTTTTTATGTATGTTTAGCGATAATGCTTTACTACCTTGTTCGATTTATATGATTCTTTTTTTGTTAGTAAGGGGGTACCTCAGGGATGATCGCATATAAATTTGGTTAAGATGTGGTGATGGCATCTGCACGTTTTTTGAAGTCGGTTTTTTTTAATTTCTAATACTTGTTAAATTTATTTAACTTTGGCTTATGTCTACCTACGAGGTTTTTACACCTACGCTGGTGAGCAAGCTACCCCCAATTACCATAAATTTAGCTGAATCCCTGGTGTTACAACCAGAGGTAGGGGGATCTTTAACGAGCCCAACATCTATGGACTCGGGACCGACGCTTTTACATCTCATTTTAAAAGGTGGCACATCCTATGCTATACCTCGTATTCATTGACGTATAACCCGTGCCCGGTGTGGTATGAAACTAAGTGAGCAGTTTGTTCGGACTTACGTCGACTTTCATTGAAATGGCCACCCATCCAACTACTAAATGCGCTGGGCCTGGCTTGACTGCAGATATTAGGCCGATTAAAATGACATTGTTAATGTAGAAATGTAATTTTATTCTTCGTTTAGTAATTTAAACTTTGTTTAACACAACGTTGGAATCGGCCCTTAATACCTAACATAATCTCGTGGCTTGAAGTAAAAATTAAGGCAATTCTTTTTTATAAACATTTAATACAGAAATTTTATTTTTTGGGCTAGAACGGTTCTGTTCAATATAGCGAATATTGCTCCGACGGGTCACTCTCTAGATTCATTTTTTTTTAATTGACATTTGACAAAAACAACCCATAACCTATATATTTGTTTACCATTTGAATTTTCTCAATGTGAAATAGAAATATACTGGAGAAATAGTTTTAATTTTCCAATCGAATCATGTCTACGGACGGGAAAATGAAAATTGCATCCCTACGCAACAACAGGGGGGCCTTCACTAGAGAGCAAAAACTAGTAATGACCGTTTGGTTTCACGAAAGAATGTACACAGGAATGTCTTACAATCAGCTCTGTATAAATTTTCAAATAAGATTCCAAACAAAACCGCCAACCCGCAACGTTTTAAGAATTTGGGACCAAAAACTATTCAAAGACGGGTTCTTTTTTAGAGTACCAGGAGAACGTCCCTCTTCCTATTTACCCAGGTTGGTACACATACCCTATGTTCTAGAATCGTTCCTTAGGTTTCCAGATTTATTAGAAACCAGTAGGGCCAATATGCTTGGCATACATTTGAATTCTTTAAGAAGTATTCTAAAAATGGACATCAGTCCACAAGAAGTAGAACAATGTAAGCAAAAAGGAAGGGAGAAAGCAGTAAGTGGTAGTAGTAATACGACCTCATCCCATGATGAGAGCAGCTCTTCGAAGGAAGATAACTGTGAAGAAAATGATAGCGTAGAAATAGAGCCAGTTGGTGTTGAAGAAGATTTTACAGTAGAATTCAATAGTGATGAAGATGAAGGAAACTTAGAAACTCAAGTGGTATGTGAAGAAATTATCATTAAAAGTGATTTTGATTAAATTTTTCTGATTATCTTAAGATATAAAGTTACATGATTGAGTATAATTGAGATAAATATTTAGAAATATGGAAACATTTAATTTGTAAATAAAAGCAGTTTCAATTATAAAAGAAAACATTGGTCAGAGTCGACTTTGTTAGCTGAAATCAGTAGTTATATGTAAAAACTGCCATGCAGTGTTGCCACCAAGTCTCATTAAAATTGGAAATCATCAAACGGTAGGAACAACCACAAGGGAAGCAAGCATATGAAATTTTATGAAAATCTGTCTATTTTTGTGCATAATAAACAGAAAAGTACTATATTTTTGTTTGTTTTTAAATTATAATAAAGTTTACACAATATAGGAACACAACTTGTAGAAGAAATCATGTATTTATTTATAAAAAATACATTTTGATATTTTTTAAACATCTGCCAAAAGCGAGCATACAAATCTTAAAAAATAAGACAATAGTACTTTATTCGAGGTATGCAAGTTATTAACAAATATTAATTAAACTTTGGATTATTTCTATCTACGGGGTTTAAATAGCTAAGCTGGTAACCAAACTACCCCCAATTACCAGAAATTTAGCTTAATTCCTTGGTGTTCCAACCAGAGGTAGGGATCTTTATATAACATTCATGGACTCGAGACCGACGCCTTTACATCTCCTTTGAAAAGATGGCACATCCCACACTATACCTCGTATTCATTAATAACGTTGGAATCGGACCTTAATATCTAACAATCTCGAGGCTCGAAGTAAAAAATTAAGGCAATTCTTTTTTTATAAATATTTAATACTGAAATATTTAAAAGTACTTTTGGGCTAGAACGGTTCTGTTCAATACATCGAAAATTGCGAACCACTTTTCGTCAGATTTATATTCGGATGAATAATCTATATAACAATATATCATTGACGATTATGCCGCTCCGTCCCAGTAACTCTTTAGACTCGATTTTTTAAATTGACATACATAAACAACTTATTTACCATTCATTTACTTGAATTTTCTCAATCCCAATAAATAGTTTTAATTTTCCAATCGAATAATGTCTACGGACGGGAAAGTGAAAATTGAAAACCTGCGCAACAACAGGGGGACCTACACCAGAGAACAAAAACTCGTAGCGGCCGTTTGGTTCCACGAAAGAAAGTACACGGGAATGTCTTACACTCAGCTATGCATCAATTTTCAAAAAAGATTCAAAACCAAATCGCCAACCACCGACATTATGGGAAAATGGGACCGGAAACTATTCAAAGACGGGTACTTTTTTAGAGGAGAACCAGCAGCACGCCCCTCTACCTATTTACCTAGATTGGTTTATGTACCGTACGTTAAAGAATCTTTTCTTAGGTATCCCGATTTATTAGATACCAACAGGGCTAATATGCTCGGCATAAGTTTGAAATCTTTAAAAAGTATTTTAAAACAGGACGTCAGTCCGCAAGAAGTAAAACAATGGAAGCAACAGGGACGGGAGAAGGCAGCCACTGGTGGTAGTAGTAATACAACCTCATCCATTGATGTTAAAGACAGTTCGAAGGAGGATAATTGTAAAGAAAATATACAAATAGAAGAAGTTGGTGTTGAAGAAGACTTTACAGTGAAATTCAATAGTGATAAAGATAATGGAAACTTAGAATCTCAATTGGTACAAGAAGAAATTATAATTAAAAGTGAATGTGATTAAATTTTTATGAATATTTTAAGATATAAAGTTACATGTTTTTTTTTTTTTTAATCAAATGTTGATATGTGACATGCTCTTCATACAAAAATTGAGCACTATTGTGATAAAAACTTAAATATAGACTCGTTTAATTTGTAAATAAAAATAGTTTTAAATTTCAAGACGAAGTGCTGTGACCTACCTTACCCAGGGTGCCTATTCTTTTAATTGGATAGAGAAAAATATTGAGATTTTTACTTTCTACTTCCTCATAAAAATTCATATTCATGAAATCAAAATTATATCTGGGTTATCTAATTTTGTTTTCACACAGCTGTTACAATTCTGACCACCCTCTGTCTGGCACATTCAAACCCTAAAAAAAATACTATAATTAGTTAAAAAAATCAATTTTGCCACTGTAGAACTTACCTATAATAAAATGTAAGTCCAGTCAATTAAAAAGTTACAGAAACAATCCAAAAAATACTAAAAAGCATGAACAAAACACAATTTATAAATATATAGTCCAGCAATGACGTAAGACAGTGGAGCGTACGTACTAGCTAGGATTGACCAATCCTAATAGAGAAATTAAATATCCTTGGAAGAGACATAATATTGATGCTGCATTTGAATATCCACATGCGATGCATTTTGCACATCTAGAGCATTTGTTTATTCACATTGGACACATCTGTCCTACTACATGTATGTAGGCTGATGTGGATATTCAAATGCAGCATTATAAGAAGCACTAGATGATCCTCTCCTAAGAAGCAATTGTCATTAAAATTTTAAAGATTATTTTCACACTATTATTTACTTATTTATTTACAATTTAAAGGGTGTCTGTACATTACCAAACCCAAATAAATGTCTACATTATTTTATAAATAGTACATATCACTTGTCAACACCTTCTTAGGATATTCATACACTTAAAATGACACTAATTTTCAATGTCTTCACTTTTAATGAAGATTTCTTCATGTAAATCTTCATCTGCTATTTCTACCTTAATGGTCTCGTTATCGGCAACTGGATCTATTTCCTTATCAGTATTATTCTTTTTCGAACAGCTGCCCTCAACATCATCCAATGAGGTACTACATCTTCTTAAGAGAGCTGCTTTTTCCCTACCTTGTTTCTTCCATAGTTCAATTTCTTCCTCGCTAATATCAATCTTTAGAATTCTTTTTAAAGAGCTATCCGATAAGCCGAGCATATTGGCCCTGGCTTTATTCAATAAACCCGGAAACTTAATAAAAGATTCCTTGATGTAAGGTATGTAAACCCACCGATGTATGGTAGTCCTAGGGACCTTTTGGCCAGGTTCCTTGAAACGGCCGTCTTTGAATAGCTTCCGGTCCCATTTGCTCAAAAGATTGCTGTCGGGCGATTTCGCTTTGAATCTTATTTCAAAATTGATGGCTAATTGATCGATGGTCATTCCAGTGTACAGTCTTTCGTGGTACCAAACGGCGGCTACGAGTTTTTGTTCTCTGGTGTAGGCTCCGATGGTGTTGCGGGGGGGCCGAGGGGCTTGTCTTTTCCTTAATCTGTCCGTAAACATGATTTGACAACAGAAACAGTTTATAAGTAAAAATAGGTTATGTTTATGTATGTTAAGTTGTTTCATTTGTCAAATATAGCGAGTCTAGTGAATGACCGGACAGAGTTCCAAATTTCATAGTTCTGCAAGGTTGCCAAATATCGACTCTTAAATGAAAAATGTTTAATAAAAAGAGTCGAAGAAAAAGAAATGTGCTTCTCGATACACATCGGTGTCAAATAATGTAATCAAAAGTATCTGTAGAGTGTTAAGGTTAAGATTAAAGTGGCTATATCAAGCTAGCGGGCACTCTGTGGCGGCACCATACAAGACTGGTGGGTTTTTTGTAGCTTTTTTGTTACGCTATTTGCGAATTTGTAGCTTTACCCAGGTCCGAAAAAACAGCGGATCCGCTAGCTTGAATTGCCATAGTAGCGGCACAGATTCAGACCCAGCTGGTTTTTCATAACTTTTTTGTTACGGTAGTCTCCCTTTTGTAGCTTGTACTGAACCTGAGAAAAGTGCGGATCCGCTAGCTTAGCGGATATTTGTAGCGGCACCAGCTCGGACCCGGCTCAATTTTTGTAGCTTTTTTGTTACGACGGTCTCGATTTCGTTGCGAGGCCTGAACGTAGCTATATCAAGCTAGCGGGCACTCTGTGGCAGCACCATTCAAGACCTGGCGGGTTTTTTGTAGCTTTTTTGTTAACTATTTGCAAATTTGTAGCTTAGCCCAGGTCCGAAAAAACATCGGATCCGCTAGCTTGAATTTCCATAAATTCTATAGTAGCGCCACAGATTCAGACCCAGCTGGTTTTTCGTAACTTTTTTGTTACGCTAGTCTCCCTTTTGTAGCTTGTACTGAACCTGAGAAAAGCGCGGATCCGCTAGCTTAGCGGATATTTTTAGCGGCACCCGGCTCATTTTTTGTAACTTTTTTGTAGCTTTTTTGTTACGCCTGTCTCGATTTCGTTGCGAGGCCTGAACGTCAGTAATAATCGTTTCTCCATGAGCGTGAGAGAAAAGTGCGTTAATTTAAAATCAAGTTTCGGCCTCTACTATTTACAATAAATATTTTTAAATACAAAATCCCGTCTTTTCGACAACTACAAGTTGCGCTGCATCTTTTTTGCATTTACAAAACATCATTTTATTTAGTTCTTCTCGTTCTTCTGGTGCAACCATATTTACTATTATAAGTTGCACTCGGAGTTCGCAGAACTTAATTTTTATATGCAACAAAGCTACGAAAATGTCTGCCCTTGCCTCACTCTACACACCATTTAGGCAATACAACAAAAATTCGTTGATGTTGGTGTATGTTTAGTTGCATATTAATAATACTAGCAGAGATTTTTATTTATTATATCGCAACTCATAATATTTGAAAATTAGAGAATGTTTATTTATGCTTTTATCAGCAGTTTCTATTTCAAAAGATAACATTCTTTGAACGTATTATGAAATTCTTAATTTTTTCGTATTCTAATATATTATGTATTTATATTACAAGGTGTAGCTAATATTTTATATCGTGTTTTCCAAAAGAAATCCCCTATCAGCCACACTGATTTTACCCTGCCCAAATATAAAAACCAAAAATTTGCAGAAATCTACATTTTTTAACTATTGTATTTTGTGCATATCTTCTTTAATTTTTGAGATACAAAATCAACAGTTTCCTTATTGTTTCCACTCGGAGCGAGTGGATGGTACCATCCCCATCGTGGAATTATTTGTAAGTAGCTTTTTACATAATCGAAATATTCTCCAAAATACCAAAAATCATTTGGCAGCTTTTTTTAAAATTCTTACATTTCTTTATTTTTGTTACAATGTGGCAACGCGCAAAACTATGTGAGTTCGTTTATTTTCGGAACTCCCTCAGGAAAATGTAATAAAACATTTATAAGGACAATGCATAGCCCTCAATGACATTCGTCATTTTTCTTTTTTTAAATTTATTTATTTTTTATTTTAACGTATTTATTTTAATAATTTGTAACAAGAAATAAAAATGATGTTTGAAAAGGGGATTTTTATAAATCTTTAGAGTGAATTACTAAAAAGAAAATTCATATCCCAAAATAAAGTAAAAACTGGGCCCCTAAATGGATACTTTTGGGTAAATTGTCTCATGGACACAGCCCATTAAAAGAAAAGAAGAAGAAGAAAATGGATACTAACATTTTTTAGGTTATACCAAAACATTTTGAGGATGACCCGAGACCCGAGTAGAAATATCTTCATAAAATGTAGTTAATCTTGAAACTGAAAAAATAGTTTTGATTTTTAATAACAATTTAGGTACAATTTATTTGAGTAGAAGTTATTTCACGAATCAAGTTTATCTATTTGTTCAACAGTCTTTGAAGCAGTCCCATCACTTTCATGGTCCTTTCGTCCTTTATTCTTCAATAATTCTAATTCTTCTGGACTGATTTCTTCCTTTACAATATCACTCACAGATCTATATGAAAAACCGAGCATTTCTGCCCTAGCTCTAATAGTTAAATCAGGAAACTTCGTAAATGATTCTTTAACATAAGGTAAATAAATATATTTCACCAAATTCGTTCTAGGTTTTTTGGCCTTTGCTTTGTCTCGGTGTAAACGACCGTATTTGAATAATTTTCGCTCCCACATTTTTAAAGTATTATAACTCGGAAGGTTCCCTTGCTGGAACCTTATTCCGAAGTTGAGTGTTAATTGATATCTGGTCATTCCTGTGTAAAGTCTTTCGTGGTACCAAACTGTTGCTACGATTTGTTGTTCTCTAGTGTAGTTCCCTATCCGAATGGAATTAGGAAATTGTTTCATTTTCATATCCATGGTTTTAACGTAAATTAAAAATTTTGTTGAAAAATTTCTTGTTTATTTACCACTACCACAACTATTATTTGTTTGTTTTTTTACAGAGATACCGAACTCTGAACCAAATCCGAACTATCTGCTAGCTCTAGAGAACAAACTTGCGGAGCACTTATATGCGGCAATGCCAAATTTCCATAAGCAATACTCAATGCTGTATACAGTAATATAGATTGCTCACCCATACATAAGATTACGAAAGCGGGTCGCAATAAAAATAGACGACACTTAGGGCCCTATTCAGTAATTTATCGTTTATGAACGACATCGTTAAGCTAACGACAGTTCAACCAACGACTTTTATAACGATAATTTTTGAAACTCTATTCAATAACAAAGTCGTTACGATGTTTCTAGTTACCAAATCTGAACGATGATTTCTAGTAAGTTGGTATTATAATTTAGTGTTTTATGATAAAAGAACGTATGTTGATGATTATACCGGGTGTTTAAATTAAAGTTTTACAGTTAAATATCGCCAAAAATATGCATTTTATAAAAAAAAGTATCAGACAAAAGTTTTATAGTTTTTTAGGGGAAACATTTTGGCTAAATTAATTTTTTTATAGCTGACCATATGGCCATATCGAAGTGGATTTTTTTTCAAATTGGAACCCTATTTTATATTTTCTTAGAGTTCATAAAAAAATAAGAAACTTCTAAAGGAAACATTTTTTTATTGGATTTCTACTTATTGAGTAACACCTACTTGAACACCCGGTATATTTGACATTTTTTTGGAACGTAAAATAAAAATTCAACCAGTAGATATATTCATTTGTTTTTCAGAATATATTAATTATTGTTCTTAACCTACAACACGATCAGGGGGTCGATTCTCGATTCGTAGGAATTCTGTTTCACGCGGGCCATTTTTGCTGGTCGTATTGTATGTAGGGTTTATTTAAATGAGTATGGATATATTAAAAAAAACTGAGAACTATTCCAAAAGAATACAAAAATACAACTCGAGAACAGTACAAGTTGTATTTATTGGATTTGAAAGACAAACCAAATTTATCAATTTATCAATCCTTTTTCCTGATTATCTTTTCTGTTGATGTCATCGGCTTCGACAACTCAGGCCATTAGCCTCGTTTTCTGTGTAGGTTACGGAGAAGTATTATTTAGGTATAATAGGTACTTCCATAATATAGGTTTCGTTACTGTTTCGCAGTGCTACTTTAGGAACAGCACTGTTAATAAGAATCCAATAGTAAATGGTCGAATGGGCAATCCTAACTTTGAATCAGATTTATTTTTAAAATAATTAAATAAATTAGAAACAAATTCCTTACAAATTGTACTTGCTGTATCAGGTAGATGGCAATTTAGTTGTAAAATTTGTAAAAAAAAAGTGCTTTTATTATTTAGAACACATCCTGATTCACAATGAAAAATGAAAGGGAATGCAAAAATCACTATAACGACACTTCATATTATTAACGACAGCTCTGTGGCTATCGTTGATGAACGACAATTTTACAACCATATTTGTCTATTTTCAACGACAATCGTTGTCTACTGAATAAGAAAAGTCGTCTGTGAACGATTATCGTCTATTAACGACGTCGTTCAGAGTTACTGAATAGGCCCCTAAAAACCGCGGAAACCTCGGAAGCGCTCGGAACTTTGCGAAGTCGGTAAATAGCCGCAAATATCCGTTATCGCGGGAGCAGCGAATTTGAATTTGACTATAGAGGGAAAAAGAAAAAATCAATAACTAACCCCACTTTACAAGACGTTTGTCTTTGATCGCTGTGAAAGCTGGTTATTTTTGTGACGATTTTTTATTTATTTAGTTAAAAATATTAAGTATGCAAACTCAAGGTTTTGATAACAAAATGTATACTTTCTGCAATTTGGAGTTTTCAAATATTCACAACCAGCAAGAGGTTTCCCATGCTAAGAAATCACATATTATTTGCCCATTGTGTTTTGAAAATGAGTTAGGTTGTGTAACTTTTAATAAACTGTTATAGATTTAATGCTGGTATAAATACAAATATGGTACTAGAAAGTTAAAACAATTTAGTTAACACAAAATCAGCTGAAGGGAAAAACAAATCTAAGAAATTGAAAATTTGGTTGATGGAAAAATGTGGCAAAGGATTCTGAAGGTTTGCTAATTTTAACCAACATATCCACTTCATTTTAATATCTAATATTTTATTATATAATTATTTGTTTTTTATAGATGGAAATACCACATTCATATATTTACCAGAAGAGGATGTGATTAAAGCACATCTTACAAAAACAATGTTTAAAGTATAAGAGGTTGTAGGTTTGGGAATTTCAGGTAAAGCCTTCTACAGGTGACAATTTTTAAAAAATATTTTATAATGAATTATGTTCGACGGAATGCAGAACTTCATATTGTAGAATATGTAAGGAATGTGTTCATCGCTATAAAAGTAACTGTATAGAGTGTGCTATAAAAGCTACAGTATGTATAAACATGTAAATTTCTTATGTTATGTTTTAGGTGACGTTGCCAAACTACTATCTGAAGAAAAGCTACCAGATATTTAAAGGGGGACATAATGAAGAAATTAAAAACTTTATTAGAGAGAAGAAATCTGAAAATAAATGTTTAACTAAAATAGCTAGAGAAGCAAAGTGAGAGATACAAATTGAAACTCCATTTTTTTAAGATACTTAAATGATGAGGCATATAATAAAGTAATGGAACCATTTTCCATGTATGCAGCTAAATATTATATGTTGGTACTTTTTAATAAGGTGCACAGTCAAATATAGTTAGTAATGGAACAAGTAATAGATCAGGGATACAGAAAAGGAAAGTGGAAACGCATGAAATTTTTTCTTAAAAAAAGAAATTGTAATGGGCTTTTGATGTCTTTTTTCTATGGTGTGGCAATAGTGACAGGGCTTGCTTTTGTACTAAATAAAAACTTATTGTAAATATGTATTTATAGTATGGTTTAGGTTTCAATTAGACGTATTTATCATTTATTTATTCTAGGTTTATCTAAATGAAATATATATAAACCTATGTATGTATAGCTTGTCTTTTATTTTTGATAAACTTTCTAAAAAACCCCTGGAACATGCTGATAATTATTGTTTTGTTTTTTTTGTAGAAAAAATTTTTACGAATAAGTTTCTTCTTATGGGTTGTGATCGAAATTGTAGATTTAATGAAAAGTGTAAATAAAGGATTTTATTTAATAATTTTATAACTGATTCAACGCATATTTTCTGGCCAAACTGTACCATCAATTACAACTATTTGAACCAGTTTATCAACAAATTGTTTGTATGGTCCTCTCAATACACATAGTACACAGTTAATATAACGTTTTTTAATGAAAAGTATCGAAATTACACAAAAACATTAAGAAATTGTTTTCATGTAAATAAGTAAACAAAGTAATATAACCAAACGGTCGTTGAAATTTGAGGTTAGGTTCTATTTTTTTGACGTGAAATCTGTAATAGCAAACATTTAAAATTTCCGCTAAAGTCTATCTACCGACCGTCTCCGCAAAGTGCCGAACGCTTCCGAGGTTTCCGCGGTTTTTAGTGTCGCCTAATAAAGGCGCGACCCGCTTTCATTTTATTGAAAATAGAACCATGATAGTTTTTGTCCAATTGGACAAACCATTGTCTGTAAAATTATATTTACTATTTACAAAATGTACATTTAAATCTGTAAAACTCTTAAATGATTTGTTTACAACTGGGTACCATAGATAAATTAATAATTTATTAATTTATCTATGCTGGGTACTCAAAATTGAGAGAACCCATAAACATTGAAGTATTAGATAAAATGAAAACTTTGCTTAGGGTCTATTTATACTCCCTTATTATTAGTATTTGCATTAGTATTATGATTAAGCATTAAGTTGAACCTTCACAATGTAATGGGGACATTTATACTCGATTTATGATTAGTATTAGCATTAATATTTATGCTTAATAATTGACAGGTTCAACTTTTAAATTAAATATTAAATTTCTTCTTTTCTATAAAATGAATCAATAACGTATTTGGCCTTTGTTTTTAATAGACAAAGGATAGGGATAATTGACAATACACATATGATTATATTGTTTATATGTTTGTTCCAACAAGCTCGAAAACGATAATATTTTGGTACAAATCATGCGCTGTATACAATTTTTGTGTATCAGCAGTGTTTACCGATTATAAAGTTGACAAATGACATGTCACCACGAGGAAGCAAAGGCCTCTTTTCTGTCTGATTTGTATCAAATTTCTGCTTCTTTTTATCTGTTATAAATTTGAGACTGAAATCCGTTAAAATGTCCTTAATTAAACCTATTTTTGAATAATATTTTTAAATAAAATTAACTAGTAAAAATATTAATAAAAATACATTTAAAACTCAAATATCTTAAAAGAACGCAACTCTGGCCTCTTACATATTTCTTCAGTAACCATATATTTTGTTGACTGCAGAATTATATCTTATTAGGTATTAGGTTTAAAAAAGAATTGCTAATACTAATTATAAAACGAGTATAAATACCTTTTTTGAATGATTTAACAAATTTAATGCTTAATCATAATACTAATACTAAGGGAGTACAAATAGACCCTTAATGAAACCCGCTTTTCGTCGTCTGATTTACATATGGATGAGCATTCTCCATAACTATATTATGTTATTTGCAACACTATTACTTACTTATAAAAGTTCAATTAGTCTTGAAAAATTGTTTAAAATAAATTTACGTGTAAATAGTTGATTGCTAGATTAAAATAAATAAACAATCGATAGACATTTATCGAAAAAAGTCTTATTTCTGATCTATATTTTTTTATAATTATTCTAATGATTGTTTACTTTTGTTACAATCTGGCAACATTCAACAACTTCGCACATGTTCGTTTATTTTCGAAGATCGTCAAGGAAAAGTACTAGATTAATTTTTAAGTAAATGTCAATTGTCAGATTTTTCGAAATTTTTAAATCGAAAATCAATGAGTTCCTCTCTTTGCCTTTTTTTTAGATTTAAGAAAGTTTACGCCTTTACATACACATGTGCATCAACATAATTATGTAAATTAAATAAAATTGCATGATTATTAAAAAAAAACATGCTTTTCTATATTTATTATTGTATAAAAGATAAAAAATAGGAACTTTGGTAATAGTACATTATATACCTAGGGTGAGAAGTGAGCTAATATATAATAATAGCTTTCTCAGCCGAGGTATATATAGAATTTTTTTTACTACTAAGATTAATATATTAGCAATTTTAATTTTGACATAAGTAATTTCCTAACAATTTGTTAAATATTTCGAAATATCAAGCAGACTGGAGCGTGTTTCTAATCAGACTGGCTTTATTTATGTAAAAATTTTGCATGTATCAAATTTTGGTATGATTCTAGGAAATATCCCATTGCATTTTTGATATTTTAATGACATGGATTTATTGGTATTAATTAATAATTTTTGAAGCCTATTGCCGGTGTTGAATTTCCTAGTTAATATATATTTTTACTGTTTACACTGATATATATTATCATATTTGATTTGATTAGATTTGATAAACCCAGCTTTAGTTATTTCCTACTTATTTTTCAAATATTTCAAAATATCAAGTAGTCTGGGAGTTTAGTTGTCAAATTAACAAAATGAAACTAATGAAATTTAGTTTCATTATTTACCTAGGTGTTTTTTATTATCATTATTTACCTAGGGTGAGAAATATTACTTCTCATTAGAGGAATGGAGTAAATAATGGTGCTTTCTCATGTTAGTAGTAAAAAACATCCATTAATCACTAAATCTATTTCATGTCTAATATAACACTTAAAAATAATATATCACCTATAAAAACAATGTATTCTAGAACAATTTTAATCAGAAATCGTTTCTATATTAATATTATTATCACTATCATTTTTCGAACAATTTTTCTCAACAACTTTCATCGATTCTGTATCACCAGAATTCTTATTGGCTCTTTCTTCGCCCTTTTTCTTCAACAATTCCACTTCCTCTGGACTTATATCATTGTTCAGAATACTTATTAAAGTAGTCCAGGAAATTCCCAGCAAATTAGCCCTAGTTTTAATGGCTATATTCGGAAACTTCACAAAAGAAGCTTTAACATACGGTACTTGCATTAACCTCTTTATAGGTTTGTGCATTTTATAGATGCGTCCCTTTTTAAATAATTTCCTGTCCCATTGTTGTAGAGTGTTGAGTGTGGGATACTTTAGATCGAATCTTATTCGGAAGTTAGCAGCTAGCTGTTTATATGACATATCAGTGTAGACTCTTTCGTGGTACCAAACGGTGGCCACGAGTTTTTGTTCTCTGGTGTATCTGGTTATCATGTTGAATCGTAGTTTGGATTTTTTCGCTTCCATTTTAAAATACTTAACATATTTTGAATTCTAAACTTGTTTACTTGGGTAGAGGCAGTGTTGTTCCTAGAGATTTTTGAATTGTACAACTTTCAGTGTCAAAATTGTACACTTTTACTTTCGATTGTACAACCACTAATTAATCTTCTTCTTTTTTATTGAGACTATGGCCTCCTACTTTCCCATGCTTAAAATTCTTCTTTTTTTCCAGTTTACAATATATTTTTGATGTAAAACCTCCGAGCAATTACTAATATAGAGGGAGCGTGGAAACGAGTTTGTAGGCGATTGTTGTGTTAGCAACATCTGTAGAGGAAGTGAGGAAGCGGGCACAAGGGGGAAGGTAAACATCCTTCTTGTTCAGTGGCGTATCATTTATCTATAAAAACACACATTGTCCAAACGTTTTAATTAAAAAAAAACTAAAAAATTTGCTAATTTTACTATTTTTAAAATGAATACCGTCTTATATGTGTGTAATGCAGGAAATGAAACAAAATCACTGTAGAGGTCTAATTTTTTCAATTGAAGAATAAAACCTTAAACTCAATTTTATTAAAAATAAATACAGGAGCGACTAGTTTCGGCCTTACAGGAACATTTTCAGGCCTGTAATACAATAATCTTTAATTATTATAATAGGTTGGTCACTTACGAATAACATTAAATAGTATAAACCACAAAAATGGTTCCATATTGTAGCGTTACATTATACAGTAACATTATAGAATTAAAGCCGTGAAAATAAAAGAGCAGTGCAAACGTAATTAAAAATAAGAAAACTTAGTACGGAATCTACAATAGAAGAGGTGAGAATGAGCAGTTACGATGCATTTAAATTGCTTGGGATAACAAATAAAGCTGATAATGTAGTGGTATAGTCCCCGTCAAAGGAGGTCTGGATATGTTAAAGAGGACGGCGTTTTCTCTATAAATCTGGAGAATGTAAGGATGGAGGGAAGACGAATTTTGCTGGCTCAGGTGTAGATGGCTAGAAAAAGGAACGTGTAGATGAAAGCTCCAGTAAATATCGCCACTTTCGTCTAATTTTTTATTCTCACTCACCGTTTCGGCTTTATCTTCGAAATTCATTTTTAAAAGGAAAAAAAGTAATCATTCATACAAACATATAATAAAACAACATGAATTCATTATATTTAATAAGCTAATAAACGTTTGATTCAATGAAAAAAACATATATGTGAATATAAAAAATATATAAATAGATAAGATTAATATCAAAATCAATTTGAAAATACAACAGATAATAAAATGAAATAAATTAATACAAGTACAAATAGGAAGTTTAAACAAATTTCTAGTTTTTGTTTTGCAAAAGACTTTTTTGCGTTCTTCGGTTGCCTCTGCCACTTTTCTTTTAGTAGTTTCGAGGAGAATTTTCCTATGGAAACCAGTAGAACCATCAATTGGTTGGTAAAATTTTGATATTTTGGGTCTGGTAAGTCTTGTTAAACTTTCTTCTTAGGAAGCTGTAACCTTATGGAGAATAAAAATTTAATGTTAGATCAAAAGCTCTTAATTGAGAATTATATTTGCAAAAGCCGTTTTAATAATATTTTCAAAAGTTCTTGGAATCGTTGTTAACAGAAACCTGCAAAAAATATATCATTTTATTCCTAAAATATAAGATATTACACAATGCACATTTATATAATATCATTGTGCTAGAAAAATACTAGGTAGGTACTGAGACAATTTAAAAAAAGTATTTCGAGAAACTCAACTCTTAATGTCATCATTGTACTTAACTTTTTTATTGCTAAATTATTAATAATGTCATTTTGTGTAGTTCGTTGTGATTTGTATAATATATATTATAAAAACCTATCGTCAATGTTAATGTGCCAAGTTTTTTTAATAATTATGTCCTTGTTATAGTAAAAACACATTTTTAAAGTTTTCTGGATTTCTGCTTTAAATTATCGTACAATTGAACTGACTAATTGTGTGTTTAAGTAAAGGTATATCTCTTTTTTGTTATAACAGTCTTTGTATATTGTTCTAACTTTCTAGATAATCAGAGAAAACAGTAAGACATCTTAATATATCCTATTTCACCAACAAAAATGTAGAATAATTAATCTCACATCAAACGAAAAAAGTCATTTTAGGATGTCTTAATAGGTTTTAACTTAAAAACTAAATAAAATGTATATTGCAACTGTGTTTTATTGCAAATTAAAGGTGATTGCTTAATGCACCGCCTCTGATAATTAGGTTGTGTCTGTACTTACTTATGATATTATCTTGAAGAAGCATTTTCAACAGGCCTTTTACACATAAAGCATGTTTTCACCATATTATTAGAGATAATAAATCTTAAATATACATTTACAACTCTTACAACGTTATAAAATAATAATATTTTCCGTATAATACAAATAAGAAATTGACATGTGTTAGAAAGTGTCAGAACTGGCGCTGTCAAACTCACAGAACATGGTCAGGCCTATGACACTCCCTGGGCGGGAAAAAGACGCGCAGATTTTACTGCGCTGACGTTTTCGGGATATAACCTATCACTTGTCATAAATCCGGTTAAAAACTCGCTACCATGCGCAGGCAACCCATATTTCGTACACAAATATAAACTTTTGTTTACATTTTATCGAAGTAGTTTTTGTAATACATTCACAGCTTAAAAACGGAAAATTTGTTATTTTGATAGTGGATTTAGATCAAAAATACCCCAAATACACTTCAGTGTGTGTTTTATCCTTGTTATTGCTCGTTTTATTTGAGGACATTGGAATGAATAGTTCTAAAAGTAATCAAGCTAAAAAGGTGTGTTATAAAAAGAAAATACATTTCCTTCGACTGATTTATGTTTAATATGTTTTCGTGAAGTATTTCTAACATGCTAGTTACTTGAATGGTTGTAAATTGTACGTGTATAAGTGATAAAAACATCTAGTGCTTTGTGGTTCCTTTTTTTTTTGTTGGTGTCCCAGCCCAGCATTCCTAGCCAGCAGTAGTAGCAAAAACATTAACATTGTCTACATTCAACCCATTTACATGTACATGATTTATTAGCTAAAAGCAGAATACAATATTTCTCTGCAAAATGTAAACAACGCTACAAGGAAAATTGATCATGTATAAATTCAAGAATTAAATCAAAATATATTTTTAAAGGACTTATATCAACTATTATGTTAATTGTAAATATTGTAACAAAATAATAGTTCTGTATTAATAAACATGTTGCTACTCCAAAAAATATATTGTTTATTGACTATCAGGTATCAAAAATATGTGTACATATAGAAATTTGTTTAAATGTTCTATTGCTCTTAACCTTTTTAATAGGTTCTTTTTATAGTTGTAAATAAAAATCAACACTTTTTATCCGTCTATTTAACACTTACAAACGTATGCATATTTTAAGTTGTAAGGATCCGTAGCCTCTTAATGTTTTACCTTAGAAATAAGACCTGTGATGTCGTATTAAATCGTGAATATGAGGTAAATGATTTGGGAGTTGTCTTTCAGTCTTATTTGAAGTTCAATAACCATTTCTTACACATAACTAAAAAAGCAATAAAAGCTTTAGGTTCTTAAATCAGAAATACAAAACATTTTAGGATTATCACCAAAATCAGATTATATAATGCCTTAGTAAGACTCCATCTTGAGTATGTTTCACAAATATGAATGCCCTTGGAAGCCACACAAATTGATCATATTGAAAAAGTACAAAAAATATTTTTACAGTACCTTTATGTCATAAAAAATACTTGTACCCCTATACCTAAGATCTTGTATAAAACTATGCTCGATAGTTTTAAGATTAAATCTCTTTTACAAAGAAGAAATCAACAGGATGTGATATATTTTGTACTCTATTTTAAGTACAAAGATTGTGAATTGATTGACTATATAAATGTTAATGCGGCAAAGATTAATCTAAGAAACCCAAGTAACAAACAAATATTTGATTTAGATCCAAGTAGTATATCTCCTTTTAACAAGATGATGGCTGTTACCAATGACTTTCTTAGCGAGGTCCAAATAGATATCTTTAATGTTAGCCTAAGAAAGTTGAGGACTGTACTAAATTAAGTTCACTAGATATAAAGGTTTGTTTTGTTTTTGGTCTTAAATTTCTTGTTACTTAACTCTACATGTAACTACTATTAATTTTTTTATAGTATCCAATAAATAAATTATACCTTATGGCTGCTTTCAAACAATTCTGTGTGTAGTCACTTAGTTTAAAGTCAATTTTAAATTAGTAGTTTTACAAGAATGTCAAATAGTAATATGTATTGTGTCTATGAATTTGCTGTGTGTAGTAAAATGGCCAATATACATAACTTTGATATTTTTATCACAAGTGTAAAAACTACGAAAACCATATACATATAGTTCCCATTTTAAAATAAATTCAAATTAATTCATAATAAAAAATAACGATTTTAGTCTGCCATACTTGAACTCATTCACAAAAATAAGACAGTATATATTTATAAAAAAAACTACACTAAATATGTCTCCGTTACAAATTTTAAATTTAAAACTACATACTTTCCTATAGATTTTGCAGTACCTAAATAACGTATAGAATAAATTTTTACAATATACTAGAAAAGTTTTAGATTAGAGTAATTCTTAAGAAATAAAGCAATACCTCTATTTTGTTACTCTAACCTTGTGTGTTATATATTTTTCTTGACAAAAACGTTATATTTTGAACTAAAAGTAATTAAACTTTTCACCAAAAAGTAATATTTCACATATATAAAAAAATTTAAAACGGTTCTGTCCTTCTTACATTTGCGAAGACTGCCCTGATATCTAATCTATTTTCGTCTTCAAAGTAATTAAGTTGTTCAACCGTTGTCTATAAAGGTATCTCACATCTCCCTCATACACACGAATTTGAAAAGCAGCAGAACAAAAATTCAACTAACCAGGTATACCAAGTCCGTGTAAAGAAAACTTTTCATATCCCGAAAACGTCAAGTGTCAACTAAAATTTCTACTTTTAAAGATCAAACGTGCCGCCTCAGAGTGCCAATACTGATTGGTATA